ATTTTCGGTTTTGAAATTTCGCTCGACATACCTGGCACAAACTCTCGAGGCGCTGTGGTCTACGCGAGCAGTCGGAAAAAAACTCTACATGTAATGTCTATATGAAATATTATGTAGAAAAGAAAATCCGCCATGATCGAAGTTCGTGTTTTTACGGATCTAACGAAATAATCCGTCAAAAATCCGTGTCTGAACCGTGGCACCCTCCGGGTATGTTTATTAGTGTATTAGGACCCGTATGCGAGTATTTGTTTTTCACGCTGTGCACACGATAATGATATTATAATAATGATTACCTATCATTATTATACCGTAAGTATTTATTATTCCGGGACAGTGTCCGATTTTGACGGCTAAATTGACGGAGTAAACGCGATCGCATTCGAATTTATCGGCGAAAACGCGTACGAATATCGACCGTAAGTTTATACGTATTAATACACGCGTCTACAAGTGTCGTACAGGGATTATAGTGGTACCTAACTCGGGTCAGTGACGTACGCAAATGGGGAACATCTGGGGTTACATCCCTTCCCGTAATTGCTTAAAACTGTGCATATTTATTTGGTTATTTTTATCTCGACAGAATATATGATTTAAGCCAAGTTGCAAGGAAAAAAGCTTGATTTTTTTGTTGGATCCGTTTTTTAAATAAATTCTTACTATCTATAGTTATAGGTTATGACAAAACGAAATTCTTGAATCGTGATCACTACTACATCCTCTCCGATTTAAAATTTCTAGTCGCGCCATTGCCTCGAGCACTTATACCCAATGGAAAGGTATACATTTGTTGACTTTTCGTTATCTATATTATATTACTCAATAATAATTTGCCTACAAAATTTTTTTGTAATTTACGTTATTTTATTTTTATTTATGGTATTCCTTTATTCTTTTTATTATTATTTTTTACCGAAGTGTGTTTTCGACTCACGTATTCCTTTACATCTCAAAATGTCAGGTGTTTTTTTTTTTTGACTTCACAATTGATAACTTTATTTCGATTTTTTTTTAAATTTCCGACTGTTTTCCATTTATGTTTTTTTTTTTAAGTACTCCATTTTAAATGTACTTTTTTGAGACGTATTTTCGCGAATGCGTCCTCTCGATCTCTCGTAAGGCGTATACGTGCGGTGGCCTGAGAAAAATCTATCGTTAATCTGTTGCATGACAATATTACTAAACTACATCTCGAATAACACAATTTATTATAAACCCTTTTCGTGTATATAGATACCGGTACGTACGCAAAGAGCCGCAAAAAAATGTTTTACGGCCGACCTTACGCCTCACCGAATAATATTGTACGTTAATTACATATTATATGTATAATAAAATTAATAACATATAAAATGATATTTCTATATACGACTCAGCCCTCTTCTCTAAGTATACCAGCTATACGGCATGTACAGGTATTAACCGCGTTTACCTATATATATATGTGTGCGTGCGTGTGTGTGTGTGTGTGTTCGATGTAGTTAGGTTTTAAATAACCATGTAATAATGATTTATTGCGCGTCCGGCACGATCGACGGTTGATACGATCTACTCGTATATAATATAGGTACTGTTAGTAGTATATAGTAGTTGGTACCTATAGCACTATTTGTGTTGAGATCGAGAGAGCCGTTTCAAAACGTCCATAACAACCAAATGTGTGCGTGTACGATAATAATAATCATAATCATAACAATAATAATAATAATAATAATAATGATAATAATAATAATAATAATATTAATAATAATAATAATAATAATAATAATAATAATAATAATAATAATAATATTAATGATATTAGTAGTAATGGTAGTTGCAGTGGCGTAGCCAGAATTTTTTTTAAGAGGGATGTTTTTATTTTGTGTTTAAATGTCACTTTGTAATTTTATTGTTCGTATGTAACACACATGGCATATACTTAATAATTATCTATGTGCATTACACAACACAGCTTGTGGAAAATTGATTGTTAACTGAATATAGTAAAAATTAAAATTTTCAGCATACATTAAGTCAAAGGGAGGGGGGTGTTTTGGTGATAAAAACGCCCAGCCCCTCCTCGCTATGCCACTGGGTAGTTGTATAGTAATTTTGTACCTAGTAGTGATATTTTGAGTCGTGGCGCACACCGAGTGTACACAGGGTAGTTCGGTATAATCGAGAATCAGCGGTTATGCATATGAAATTACACAAAGATTTCGACTTATAGCGCAGTTTGACATTGGTTTTTTTTCTCACTTTACATAGTTTACCGAAATATTTTCCGTACGATAAGTATCTACCGTAAATTTAATATTATTATACGCATAATATTGACAGGTGTGATATTTTCAAATATATCCCACCTGAAAAAAAAAGTACTTTTCTATTAAAAAAAAATATTCGTCTATCGAATGCGCGTTTAAAAAAGTTGATCACTGTACACTCAAAATTCAATGTACTTTTTGATACGTTTTTATGTTTTTCATTTTTCAACCTAACCTAAACTTTTAAAAACAAAATTATCTAAAATCATCCTATTTCTCTAATATTACTGCTTTTTCGCTTGTGATAGACGAATCACTATGTACACCTACGTGGTAGTCAATTGTCGTGAAGACAACCATTACTGAGGAAAGTGTTTATTATTTCAACTTTTTTTAGACGATTTAAAAAACAAGCAGTTCTAAAATATTGCATGACCGTTATTTTTCGGAAGTGAAAACACTGTTAAACTTTTGATTTCCAAATAATCACATTAAAAATTCCATAAATATGTATGTATGCAATTTGAGTTGAAATATATTTTCTTATCAACATTTTTAATTTCCGTCAACCCGTTGACGAGATATTTGTCTTTTAAGTTTGGGTAGTTGGAGATAATAATTCAACGCTATTCAAACGCACCACAAAATTATGTTTTTAACTCTAGCCAAAACTTAAAAACTGGAATGAGTCACATCGGGTTGACGGATATAAATAAAGCCAACACCAAAATTTATTTAAACTAAATTTCATCTATTTATCTATTACAAGATTCAATTTGGAAAATGGGTAGTGGTTTCATCCCCAAAAATAAAGACCACCTAATATAAGGGAAGTTTACCATTTACAGTTGTACATTTTTGGAAAAAAGTTGATAATTAATTCTTTTTAATATGCGGAATTAAACCGGTAATAATAAATACAATATTATATAATGCGTACACTGATTCCATCGTCTTCCTTTCTCGATCCCGTATGTTTAATCAATAGGAAATCAATACATATAATAATATACAACATTATAAATGCTAAGTACCGTGTGCGCGCGTGGGCTCGAAAACATTTAATAAAAATAAAAAAAAGTGTAGTAAAATCGATAAACATCTCTACATCGTTGCACTGCTACAGGTACAACATTCCGTCTGTACATAACTAGATCGGTATTATTTATTCTTTTTAATAATCGCTTCAGATACGAGCTAATCTAAAAATATTGTATTAGGTATGTATGCCCACTATCATAATAATATACGAAATACCGGCTACAAACATTTTCCATTAATATAATATATAGTGTGTGTTTGCATTGCATTATATTACTATAGGTATACATTGCAGTTGTGATCGGGTTTAGCGGTCGGTAACATTGTAGCGATAAATCGGTATAGAACCGAAATTTATAACGTCGTTAACGTACATAAAATGACTATATAGCTTACATTATATTTATTATATTTTATAGTTGTACCAACAATTTATGTCTTAATACGACAAATTGATACTGTTATAGCACGCTGTAAAAAAAAAAAAAACTGTTTTAAACCGTATAAATCGCTTTGCGGCAGCAATTCAATTCGATGTATTATTATTCTTTTTTTATATACGCGCATGTTATCAAATATAATAACATACTCGGGCCGATCGTCATAAACCCGTCGATTTCCTGACGACCAATTGAGTTTTCCGAGTGTATTGGTCGAGCTATTATAATTCAAATGTGTTTTCCTACACCTCACCCCTTCGGAAAATACATTTTCGATTAGAAAAACCTAATCGATTCCTTAAAAGTGCTATACATTAAAATAAGCCAGTTTTTTGACTATATATCGGTTTTATTTTCGTCAATTTCTGGGTCATCTGGCTACGAAGGGAACAAACGCGGCTTATAATATATTATATCCTCAACAGTTTACCCAGCTCCGTTCAGATATAATCAATATTCAAATAATTAGTGAATCAGAACCAGTTTATAGTTATCCCCTCATAAACCTCTAACCTACAACAGTGTCAACAGTGTCCTAGTGTTCGTACGGACTTTTTTTTTATAAATATTTATTCTTCAGAGTTTCTATGGTTGTATATGCGGTTCATCAGAAGTTGTACTCCATGTCGAAAAAAAATTAAAAAAATCTAGCGTAATGTAGCATTATTTTTATATACGTTATAAGGTGTATTAATTTTACACAAAATTCATGATATTTAAAAACATGTTTAACAAAAGGCTCAGAATCGTTTTTCGTTAGATATTCTTTACATGAAGATAAAAATTAAATAAATAGATATATCCTGCCGTCCCAACTTACTAGTAACCCATATATTAGGGCCCATGAGTCATTCACTGGTATCAGTTTTTTTTGGATTTTAAGCGCGGGTTTAATCGAAAATAATATAACAGTTATAAAACTGTTATATTATTTTCGATTTTGTTTTTTTTTATTATTGAAATTTCGTTAAAAATAATCGTTGAAACCTGCAAATTATACAGAAACCCTTTTTAGTCGTGATATAATTTTCAAAACATTCTGGTGATTTTCGGTACTTAGAGGAATTTGAAATTTTCGAAAATTGTAAAATTGTTATTTGTATAATTATGTAGATAAAATTGTCTAGTAAAACTGAAATACTTGAAAAGTTAACACGAGGTTCGAGATTTTTGAAAGGCCGTGTTTGCGGTAAAATGCATTTTTCAGATCATTTACTTTTTTTTTTATTTAAGCATTTAAATCCGGGCCCTTTAATGATATTATTATAATCGTTTTTGACTATCAAAAATAATTTAATGTTATTTATAAAGAAATTATCACGTTTTTTCTTCAAGAATTAAATTGATCATATTCGTGGGTATACACTGCGATATATAGCCATAAAACGGTTTCGTGATAATTTTATTGGACACTATATATTATATTGTATACGCGCACGGTATAAATCATATTTTATAAAGTTACCACCCAGTAATTTATTTAGCTACGCCGAAAATTTTAATATATAGTCACGTAGAATATGGGGTCACTTACCTTGTCACTTTATAATAATATAATAATATGAATTATTATATAAAAAATTATAAAAAAAAATACCGCGGAATACGTAGGATTTCGATCATTCGGATAAGACTTATTGATATAACTGGACACAATATAATATCAAATAATTGTATCTATCGTATATTCGTCACGCGTAGTTTATATTTATTGACTTAGTATAAATCAAAAAAAAAAAAAACAATTCTGAGCGTAACACGGTTAACCGGTAAGGTTATAATATAGTATTAGTCGTGTTTTTCTTCCTCGTAGCCCGAAAATCAAATCGAAAATCAACAAAAATAAAACCGATGTATTCATTATCTGCAACAATTTTACTTTTTTAGAAAACTGTGTTGAGAATTTAGAAAAATCATTCAAATAAAAGTCGACAAATTTGTATATTTATAAGGTACGAATCGACTAATTCTGAATACTATATCTAACTGGAAATGTGTTTCCCGAAAGAAAATAATGCATCGTAAAACTGAATAGCTCCTTCACGTTGTCCTTCACAGAATTTAAAATAGTAAAACCGTTTACGGAATTATTGTTTATAATCTTAACGGAACTCGCGTGATTAAACATTAAACAACCGAATATTCGCGATTATTTTTAATGAACGGTTTTTTTTATGTAGAAAACAAAAATTATCTGTCGACGGTGATTGATTATAACTTATAACTTTGATTTTTCCCGGGGTAAGAAAGGTTCTGGGCTGCCGACCCAGTATCGCCAACCTGAGCGCGTTACACACGATTACCACCTGCCGCGTGAATCGTTGAAACCTCGGCCGCCGGTTTTGTATATACCATAGATTTCAGTAGTTGATAAATATTATATTCTTATTGTCGTGCACGAACTGGAATAATACATAGGTATAGGATCAACTGGATCAAGTACATAATATATTTTTATTTTCGACTACTTATACTCGTATTGTGACTATCCAAGTTCACGGGTCATTGCGTCGAACACACGATTGTTAACGCGATTCTAACACGAATATATTATCATTAATAATAATAATATTCGAATAGAATCTTAACCGGTGCGATGTAGTCACATATATAATATATATTATGCATACAGGGAGATCAAGAACGCCGATAGCAATTATCAATACACACATTTTGGTTTTAGTTTTTTAGTTTTTCTGTTAAAACTAAATTTAGAATCGTTCACCGGACCTACTATATATTTTTAAAACTTGACCATTTATCTATGTATATTGCTACATTCAACAAATTTATAGATTTTGGATCTAAACTTTAATCCGTAACTCATAAATAGAGTATTTTCGAATAAAGCAATAAATGCTTACATAATTTGGTGCGACAGTAACGTTAGTCGGTCTGTAAGACACGGATAACTGGTGATATGGACTTGTCTGGTTCAACCAAATTTCGGACAAATGAAACAAAGTTCCGTAAACACATGCAATACACACTATGGTTTTATCATTCTGCTGAAAAATTCGACAATTGAGCTTGTCTTGAGGTTTCACTGAACTCTGGCAGTTTTTGCAGTTCTTTAATGGTATGTTGGCTGAAGCCTATAAGTGAATTTTAGAAGACCGTCTCTCTCTCTCTCTTAGTATGGTTATAGTGGATGGTGTGACTCGCGTTGCTTTTATTTATAATGACCCGGAATATTTTACAGGGACAATTTGCACTCAGAAGTCAAACCGAAACCGATAAAATCATAAAGGTCCAAATCCTTGAACGGAACATAAATTGATATAAATTATTTGATATATTATTTCGTCTAAAGTTATTTTGAGAAAAACACGGCATAATTGATTTTTCCCCTCGATATTCACTAGCTTAATAAAATCATTAAATTCGCACGCGTATACGTCTGATTTATTGAGCCTACGTGAATTTCTCTGCGGTTATTAACTATACACTTAATTTAATACTACGGCCGATCTGAGCTAAACACCCACTGCGGCGAGTGGCTAATAAATGATATTTACGCAAGAGGATTTGCGAAAACTCTGGACAAAATGAAATTAATATTACACACTTTTTACGTTTCGAGATACATAAAGACGTTTAATCGAAAATCGTATAGTGTATTTTTATAATTAATACGCAAACTATGCACAGTTTGGAATAAAAAAAAAAAAAATAGTTGATTTCGCGTAGGTGTATTCCCCGACAAAAATCTATATTATATAAAAGAACTATGCACAGTTTGGAATAAAAAAAAAAAAAATACGTAAACATATAATTTAATATTTAACCGTATTATATTTTTTATAACGTTACGGCCATAACGGCAGCCTGTGATTGAGTTATGAGCAATATTTTATAAGATCTAATCAATTTCTCTTCTTAAACGCACAAAATATTATATTCGTATTTCATAATATTATTATTTTAGTAAACCAGTAAGGCAATATTTTGACGTCATGAATTTTATTGTTTTTTTTTTTGTTTTACAGTAGGTATCTATCATTAGTATATTTTAGGATTTATTTTGAAATTTATTGAAAAAACTCGTTTTTGACATTATTTTAACAATTTACATGACGTATAGTAACTAACTACAGATATAAGTACTGAAATTCGTTGCGTATGATAAAATATTAGGTCGTTATATTTTACGATCGTCAAAATGGGCAGGTCGTAAATATATTGTTTTCTTAAAAAATTATTATTATTATTTTTTTATCGTTTTATCATATACCGACGATAATAACACTAGAGATACACGTTTATTTAATCATGTATTACCTTAATAGTACTAAGGTACTAACAGACTGGACCGGAGTAGACATTATAATAATATCATAATATACAAGTTTGGTCTTTTATGTTTCACGACGGTCACGCGATTCAAAATCCTACGATATCTATCCCGTTTTTCTCTGAAATTTAAATACAAGATATACATAATGTGCATAGGTATAATATATACATTATACCTATACACAGTACTGTCATTCAAGCTGTTCATAAATATTGTTTTAAAATTAAATAGAGTTTAGTAATAGACTAATTAACACTTTGATGCGATTTGTTCAAGTTATACATAAAAATTGTAAATTGTATACCAAAGAGTATACGTGTGTGTGTTTAAACTGTCTGTCTGTCTATGTCTGCCACATTTTAAAGTGTTATCCCGATTTTGATGAAACTTTGCACACTTGACAATTAAAAAAGAATTTCACGGGCCGCAGATAAAAACAAGTTGGGCTTAAAGGCCCCTGCTCTAGAGAGTGACTGACACAGTGATTTGAGTATTTTCGGAACGTAAATTAAATTTTTTCTGTTTTTGATTTATGCCTCGGTGACACGAATGAAAGAAAACCAGTTAATCAGGTAATTTGGTTTTTTTTTTAAATATGAATTACTGGGCATCAAAGACTAAGTGTGATAGGAACATTGAAAGATGGAAACGGGTAAACACGTTATACGTAATTGAGCCTGAGAAATACCGGGTAATTCAGCTAATATTTTATAAAATAAAATAAACTCCATTGAAATATTGTACTTTTTACGCAAATATAATTACAAATTGATGGTAATTTGATTAAATTCGTTACATTTATGTATGCATCCGAACGGAAAACGAATTTACCATATACTTTTGTTTACATTTTAATCATTTAGATACATCTGTACAATCAATCGCGTCATATTAAAATATATAATACGATAATAATTTTATTTCTGTTTGTCACCTATTAAAAACGTATTTTGTTTTTGCATCCTTGACTATTGTATTTTATAATAATTATAAGTAAATTATTGTATTTTTCCTGTACATTTGTTTACCGACGGTAGTTTACGCGTAGGCTATTTTATTGTTTGCATTAATCAGAGTGTAGCGATATTAAAACGTCGGTCGTTTACTCAGAATAATAAATTTCACGTAGTGAATATGTACAGGTGGTCCAACTTCGCGCGCGTATTGTTCCGTAGCTTCCGTAGGAAATGATGATTCATTTGCCACTAAATCCTATGCATGCATATGAAATACAAATAGTACACAATAGTTTTTGTTCACTATTGATAATTCAGTGGCGAATTTTCTCACAGGGACGAGGTCACGAGGTAGACCCGTTTATTATGAACCGACAATTATCTCGAAGAATTTTCAATACATCACGTCTGTTTTTTCCAATAGTCGTGAAATCGTTTTTTTTTTAACACTATTAGAATTTTCACTCATACCTCTCGTACACCTACATTAAAAGAGTGTGCACTTTCGATTTTCAGATGTAAACCTACCCCGTGTACAAATCACAGATTCGAATAATGAATATTAGATTTTTGTATAGATTTTTATGTGCACACATAAAGTCCAAATATCGGATCTACCGTTTTTTTAACTACTAAACAAATTTGAAAATAAAGCTTCGTAAAAGATTCATAATAATTGAAAAAAAAAAAAAAAACCAGAAATCAAATTCACTTGAAATCCTCCGGGAAAATCGGTGGTCTGTGATAAGTCGACCGTCTGGTATAATAACAAGTACTTACGTATAACGCGGAAAAGCGATATTACCAGTATCGGTTCTATAAAATTATTTAAAAACAAATTTATTCAAAACTGTTGGTCAGTCCGTGATAATGATTTATGGTAATCACCTCGCGTTTATCTTTTGCTTGCACGCGTTGAGCTTTGATCTCTGGGCAAAAAGAAAAGACAAATGATAATAAGAAAGCAGAATGGGAAATCGACGTGTCATACAAATAAGGGTGGACACAAAACGAATTTGTCACACTTCGACGTCGGATAATATTATAATACAAGCCGTTTTTATCATTATATCCACGAGGATTTATACGTATTTACCGTAGTGCCGCAGGATATTCGCGGTGACGCGTTTCACACGTGGATGACCGCACAATGATATAATGACAATCATTGTCTCGGATCGGCGAGAGACGAAAAACACCCGCGGATTGAAAAAAAAAAAAAATTTAAATATTCGCCGTTTACCGCCATACTTAACCTAATCTAACCGCATCGATAGATCTCGTTTGGAGGGAGGGAAGGTTGGGAAAATCGCGAACGGGAATACGTGACCGGCGGCCGTCGCAGCCGACGGTGATGATAACGCGCGCGCGCGACAAAACCCGCGACATTCTATGGTTATATTATTATTATGTGGG